CCCCTGCTTTCCCTCCCTCATTCCCCTTCCAATCTCTCCCTCTTGGCTCAGCAGCCTCAGCTGGAGGATACGAATAATCTGGGGCCGCTGGGCTGGGCCTGCAGGGGCCAGGAGAAAGGTGGGTGGGTGGTGGCATGGGGCCTGGCCAGGCACCTCCTGGGGGCACTCACCGCAGGGGGGCTCTGGTAGGGCTGCTCTGTAGCATCAGTGACACCTGGCAACTGCATTCGCCAACCCGGTTCCTGAAGAATTCGAGAGATCAATACAGATCAAGAGGCTCTCTGAGCCAAGGGCCTGCTCAGCCGAGGGCTGTGAGGAGGACAGGGTAAGCAGGAACTTGGCCAAAGGCTGGCTGGCTTGCTCCAGGGAACAGGGAGTCAAGGGCTTAGCTGTGACCCCACATGACCACACAAGCCTAGATTTAGGGCAGGGACCTTCTCCTCTTTGGTCACCCTTTTTCCCCCCAGCTCTTGTATAAAAAGGAAAAAAAAATCTGAACAACAGCTTAGACAGATATCCAGAAGTAGGAATACTTTTCTGTAAGTATATTACAAAAATAATACAATCACTCAATAAATAAAAGAAAACTAAAGTCTAAACCTGCTAGGGTGTGATGGAGCTGCTTGATCTAGACTGTGCAGCCCTGGGCAGTGACCCTGAGTCTGACTTCACACTCCCTCAATACAGAGATGGTTATGTCCTCTCTGCAGTGTCCTTCCTCCCCGCCCTCCAGCTGCTACTTCCCCTCTCCTGCTTGCAAAATGAAAACACCTTCCAATCCCCACGCATCAGCCAATGCCCTCAGATCAGAACTTTCTGAATTAAAAACCGAACAGGTGTCTTCCTGTGTGGATGGCCCTTTCTCTCCTTCCTTCTGGTAGGGAGAGCTCTGGATTCCTCAACCCACAATGAAAACTTTAGTGGGGTGCCTGGGTGGCTCAGTTGGTTAAGTTTCTGCTGTTGGCTCAGGTCACGATCTCACAGTTCGTGTGAGTTCGAGCCCTGCCTCAGGCTCTATGCTGACAGCTCAGAGCCTGGACCCTGCTTTAGATTCTGTGTCTCCCTCTCTCTCTCTGTCCCTCCCCTGCTCACATTCTGTCTCTCTCAAAAATAAATAAACATAAAAAAATTTTTTTTGAGGGGTGCCTGGGTGGCTCAGTCAGTTGAGTGACCAACTTCAGCTCAGGTCATGATCTCACGGTTGTGAGAGTTCAGGCAGCATTATGGGCTCTGTGCTGACAGCTCAGAGCCTGGAGCCTGCTTCAGATGCTATGTCTCCCTCTCTCTCTGCCCCTCCCCACTCATGCTCTGTCTCCCTCAGTCTCAGAAATAAATAACATAAAAAAAATTTTTTTTAAATGTTTTTTTTTAAGACACCAGCATCCCTTTGGTGAGGCTCACTGCTCAGGAGGGGCTTGCTTTTAAAACTCACTTGGAGTGCTGCAGGGACTTGGAGCCCATCAGCTCTCCAACCCCACAAGGCTGCCATCTGCTGGCGGTTCTGAGCTCTGACCAGCCAACGTTGCTCAGGCGGGGGTGGGGGCAAGGGGCAGGAGGGTGGGGGTGGGCAGGACTGAGGGCCAAGGGTGACTCTTCAAGGTGATAACCTCCCATTTTATATAGTGACCTCCAGCTTTCATTCACAACCATTATCTTCTTGTGCCTATAGCATCCCAGTGAGGTATGGAGCACTAGTATGCCTATTTGAAAGGTAAGGAAAGGAGGCTCAGGAGTTTATATGAGGCAGTGCTGGGACTCCCATGGTCTCCCACTCATGCCCCCTGCATGGCCATCTTATTAGCACTTCATGGTCCGACGTGTGCCTCAGATCCCACCACAGATGAGTGCCAAGTTCTGTGACAGGTTCCTTACATAATCTATCTCACCGATTAGGTTTTTATTTTATTTTATTTATTTATTTTATTTTATTTTATTTTTATTTTAAAAAATAACAATAAGGCTTAGAAAGATTAAATAATTTGCCTAAAAATAGCAGAAAAAGGATGGACACCTGTGTCTACCTGAATCCAGGATCTGTAACCTTCCCACTCTGCCCCAGTGCTTGTCAGTACAAGTCTACTCATGTCTCTGTGTGTGTGTACATATCGACCACACGCATGGATACACACATACATGGGATCTTACCTGGTGGACACCTGCACCTGCAGGTCTGTGTCCGGGAACAGGTGTACAAACACAGTCATCCCCACGTGCACAGACATCTGAGCATGCGTTCATTCAGCTCTGCTGATGTATGTGGGTATCTACCTCGCTTTGCCTGGCCTCCCTCCCAGTGGAGGGCCAGGTCCTGATCAGACTCGGGAGGCCCGTGGCGTGGCAGATGATATGCAGGGGAAATGGGGGGTGCTGCTCACTCCCAGGCACGAAGACCCATTTGAAACAAGGATCGGTTGATCTGTGCTGTCCTCCAACTCTCCTCTCATCTATTGGGGTCCCCTCCTGGTCACCTTCCTCGATGCTCAGGCTCTCAGGGGGCCCAGATTCAAGGTTCTGGGGGCCTCCTGTCCAAACAGTTTGAAGGCTCAAGGGTGTTCCTTTGCTCAACAAATAGCAATCAGGTGCCTCCTTAGTACCTGGCCCTGTGAAGGCTAAGAGGCCCTCAGAACATCCTGAGCACTCAGCACAGAAGGGCTCATGGGGCTTTGGATCAACCTGTAGCATAAACATGAGAGGTCATTTGTGGGTGAGGCCCAGCCCCCTGGCACCCCGCTTCAGCCAGGCTGCTGGTCAGTATTAGGCCGTTCTTTCCCCCACTTTTCTTTCAAGCGCAGGGTGTGGGGCCCAACGTTGGTGAGGAGCAGCAGGACAGGATGGCCAAGGACCGTGTTTTCCCAGTAGCACTTTCCAACATTGCCTCAGCTGAGTTTCTTCTTGCCACAACACAGCCCGGATGCAAAAATCAGGAGTAGACCCTGACCAGATGGCTATGCTTTAGCCCAGCCATACCTTTCAGAGGCTTTATATGGTGGGGTTCCCAGTCCCCGGAGCTGGAGTAAGCTCTGTCTCCCATGGGGAAGCTGGTAAGGGCTTCTGTTGTTTTCCATTACCCGCCCTTAAGAAGGGAGCACAGGTAGCCTATTGCTAGACCTGTCCACAGGCCTCACCCTGAAGCACCTGGAGAAGTCTGAGGGGCAGACTGAGGTAAATGTGGGATACCATGGCTGCCCCACTAAGTGGTTCATCCCTTGGGGTGACCTGGGGGTCACCATTTCTGCAGCCATAAACTTAAATCTCTGCGAGGCCTTTAAGAAAGTCATGTGCTCGTTCAGAGTCTACAAAGGTCAGAAAGGCCTGTGGCCTGGGACCCACACACCAGATAACATAACCAGCCAAACAGCCTCTTAAGGCCATCTTTGGTGTCTGCATCTACATACTCAGTTATAAAGTCAGGCCTGGGGCTGAGGATGAGGCCTTATGCCCAGCCCAGCTGCTGCCACAGCAGGTATGGGGCTATGACCTCACAGGCTGCACCTTTCACAAACTAGCAAAACTCTTTTTGTCAACCTCCCAAACAAACCCTGAATAAGAAGCCCACTCTGGACCCTGTCCCACTCTGAATCACCCTTGCCTGGAATGGATTTTATAGGCAAAATTAGTTTAAAGAACTAATTTCCTGGCAAGTCTCAATCTTTCAAAAATTTCAGCTGAAATTTGGAACTTTTTGACACTTCCTCTTTTAGTTCAGGAGATAAGAGCTAAGGAAGGGGAGGCAGAACCCATCTAGCCACACCTATCCTGCAGCATGAGCAGGGACAGATAGGAGCTGTCACGTCACCCACCCCCCTGCATCTCAGCCATCGGGTCTCCCTCTTTGAAAGGCATTCTGTCCTGGGTCTAGGTCTGATTTCTGCCAGCATGAGAAAAGCTGGAGGGGATGGGGCCCCTGGTGGACCTGGCACATACTCCCTAGCCGGGGACAAAGCCAAGGCAGGGCAACAGCTTCCCAAAGGAATGAAGAGGCTGGACTTTGGGGAGGGGCATGGGACAAGGGCTGTGTGGATGTGGACCCCAGCGCAACCTCCCAGATTCCCTAAGTTCTCGTGCACTTGAGAGAAACAAGGAATGGAAGAGAATCCGATTAAAAGCCAGCGATGAGGGTTCCAATCTGGGCTCTGCTACTTGTCTTTGGGTGGCCGTGAGCAAGTCTGTGACCCTGAGACCTCAGTTTCCCCCATTATTAAACGATGAGTCAGCTAGATAACTTCTGAAGTCCCTTCCAGCTGGGACAGTCTAAGTTTTATGACTATCCCCAGCTGGGCCCAGACAGTCTGCTTGCCGACCTCCCAGTGCAACCCTCCACTCTGGGCTGGCAGACTTCCCACAGCCCTTGCTTTGCTCTTCCCTACCCTGTCTTGTTCAGCCTCTTCAACAGGCCCTTAACAGCCAAGCCTTTACTCATTTGCTAAATCTCAGCCTACTGTCCTCAGAATCCCACAAAAAGCTCATCTCTTCTGGGATGTTTGGCTCGATTAATGTGAGTATTGTCCCACAGCACTACTCCTTCCATGCAGACAAGCTCTGGTCTCACACATCATCAGTTTCCATTATTTGCACTGGCCTGCGGGAGGAAGACAGCATCTTCTTCCTATTCTGGAAGCAGATTTGCCTTCCTGATAACTGGTTTGGGTGCAAGGCAAAGGCTGTTGGTGTCTTCTGTGCATACTGCTGATGGCAACAGGATGACCAGGCAGCCCACAACCATGTCAGCAACTGACCACAGACACTCCATTAACTCAGCTGAGATTCACTAAGCCTTGCCCAGCTAAGCTGAACTTCCTAGAAAATCCAAAGAAATAACAGATGACTATTTTTATAAAGCCACTCAATATTGGACTAGTTTATTATGCAGCAAAAGCTAACTGATACAAGCATAAAGCGCATGCCCAGAAAGGACCCAAGAAGTGAGGCACAAACTGGGTTTTGTTATTATTATAGGAATAATGCTCTGTCATGCCAGTGGCTTTGACATGTAGCTACAGAGTCTCTCTGTAGCTCAGAGCCTTGGACATGGTACACTCAGTACTTAGGAGAGCAAGCTCCTTACAAAGTGGCCAGGCACCCGAGCTAAGGCAGGACCAAACATCTTTGGCATGTGGCATAACCTTCTGTTTTCAGGGTTGAGGTGCAGACGAGTACTCTTCTTCTGCTCACATCAACCCTAGGGGCTGGCATTCGGTCTCCATTAGCCCACGGCTGGCATGGAATTTTAAGAGTTAGAGCACTTTAAAGGTAAAAGAGCATTTCTGGATCACTTTCATTTAACAGACACTAACTGCTGGCTCTGGGCAGCACTGTTCTGGGCACTGGGAGCAAAGCAGTGTGTCTTCATGGAGCTTTACCTTCCCCTGTAACCTAGAAAGACCTTAAACAGGAGAAAAAACGGAATGGGCATGGTTAACCTGCCTGTAGTGGCTTTAAATGTCTACAGATTCTTTGACATTCCTCTCTCCAAGAGATGGAACCCTCTTGGGCTGCACTTAGTGACTTCTAACAAACAGAATGTGGCGGAGGTAACGGTGTGTGACCTCCAAGGGTAGATCACAAAAGACACTGCAGGTTCCAACTTGTTCCCTCCCATGGATCACTAGGTCTGTGGAAGCCAGCTTCCGTGTCACGAAGACACTCAAGCAGTCCCAGGGAGAGGTCCACATGGCAAGGAGCAGAAGCCTCAGGGCCCCAGTCCTGTGAGTGAGCCATTTTAGAAGTGGATCCTCCAGCCTCAGTCAAGCCTTCAGACACTACAGTCCCTGCCAACATGTTCACTGCAAAATGATGTGGGATGTGCAAGGCACATGATGTAGAAATCATCCCACAAAGCAGCTTCCAGTTCCCAACCCATAGAAAGTGTGAGACAATAACTTGTTTTAAGCTGCTCAATTTTGGGGTAATTTGTTACACAGCAATAGACAACTAATACATTCCCTCTATCCTGCTGCCTTTCCGATTTTAATCAGTTCTTTCCTCCTTCATATTCTCCGCACACCACATAATGAGAGAACAAAAGCTGGGATGTAATAAGACAGAGGACTCTGGGCAACTGAGCTCAGTGGGGAAGGTTCTCAATGAGCACCTTTGCATTTAGTGGAAAAAGGAAAGCTTGTTGGCAGCACCAAGGCTTCTCTTTACGTGGAAGCCCAGCTCCACATTATTTCAGGTTTCTGCTGGATTCCCAGTCCCGGGTGGAGACTTTGACAGGAGGTAGGGATCTGGGGGTTAGTGGGCTAAAGGAGGTCGGCAGGACACGCAGACTCACTTGAGCAGGATCTCGTACTGGCCGGCATGCCAGGCCTGCACATTCTTTAGAACCAGCGTGAACACGTCCTCATTCTGCAGCACCTCAAAGTGGCCAGTGTCTTTGGAGAGGGCCTTGCCATCTCGGAGCCAGTGCACGGTAGGGAAGGGGTCTCCAGCTATGGCACAGGAGATGAGGACACTTTGGCCCAGGGAGGCTGTCACTGAGCGGGGCTTGCTGATGAACCAGGGCTGGGTGCCATCCTGAGGCTCTGGAAGTTGGCAAAGGTTTGGATTAGAGAGGAAGGCCTTTCAGCAGACAGCATCTACTCAGCTTTCCGTGGTGGTGAAGGTCGAAAATTGCACGTTACCCCAATAACAGCATGTTCAGAAATCACTTTCACTGGATGTACAGTTACAGCACATCCTTCTCGTGCTAAATCTGTCATGGTTATGTTCTCTGAGGATCATATTGACATGAGTTTGTATATCCAAAGCAAGGGGAGGTAGCCCAGAAGGTACAGGTGCACTGGGCTAGGTGCTAATGATCTACAATGAGATGTGTGTAATTAACAGTTGTTCTTGCTTTATGTGTCCTTACCTTGTCTCTCTTCTTAAATAAAGGTTCTCTAAAGGCAAGGACTCTAATAGGCCATAAGTCACCTCAAAAGCTATCACTACACTAATGTAGCATTGTGTGTTAACTATACTTTAGTAAAGGGGGGAAAAGCTATCACTATCCAGCTGTTAAATGTATCACAAGATTTTTCTCCTGGCACTCGATGCAGCTTGTCACCAGTAACTCAGAGAGGGAAGGGACTTCAGAAGGCAGGGAACAGTGGCTCCCCTCAGCCAGACCCCAAGACAAAGGTGGGAAGCTGGCCTCTGGGGCTGGAATGGGACCAAAGGGGCACAGGGACTGCAGGGGAAACAAAGTAAGCTCATGTGGTTTCCTCACCTCCAAATTGCCTATGGAGAGACCACAATGGTCTATTCCCTATTTCCCACCTATTTCCCACCCCTGCCTGCCTCCACCCTGGTCAGCCCAGCAGCCACACCTTGCACCATGAGCACTGCCTGGGTGCGGACCTCTCCAGCGCTGTTCCAGGCTTCACAGGTGTAAGTGCCCGTGTCCTCCGGGAACACTTCCTGGATACAAAGGCTGTGCCGAGTCCCTCTTTGTTCAAAGTGGAAGTCTTCGGACTCCTGGATCTCATTCCCATTGTGAAACCAGATGACCTCGGGGGGCGGATTCCCTGCATAGGCAGATAGGGCAGGTGGACTTGTCAGGAAGGTGCTTCCCTGGGCCATGTGGCAGCTTTGCACTTAATCCTGTGACACTGTACTAAATGCTAACCTCTCTATGCCTCAGTCGCCCATCTACAAAACATCCTAACCATGTCTTCCTTAAAGGTTTGTTGGGAGGACTGAATAAATTAATATGGTCTCACAGAGCAGCCCACTAGAATAGCAGATGAGAATAGCATCTGGCACAAGGAAAGTGCTCAATGCATGTTCATTATAATTATTTAACAACAGATTTGCAGAAACTAGAAAGGATCAGAAGTGAAAAAAATCAGAATTCAAATTGCTTGGTAATACTGAGTAGTAACTGGCTCACTGGGTGTGCAGCGAATGCATATCCTGTCCCCGCCTCCACCCCCAGTGCACACACAATACGGTGGTGACTTCGCAGTAGCTCCTCTATCCATTTTCACCACAAGGAAAAGTCAGTTAGCATTCCATTTTGCTACCACACAAATGTTGTCTGAGGGTAGAAACGGGCACCAGCTCGTATGGGTTTCCAAGCACAGCTCAGGGTGCAGAGCATTTTCAGTTTTACCAGCCTACTTTCCTGGGTAGGTTCTAGCAATTTGGTGGGTCATAAAACAAGGGCCCCCTGTGGGGGTTTCCCCTGCGGTAGCATTATGCTCTGCTTCCCGAGGAGCACGGCCCCCGGGAATGGCTGCCGAGGGAGGCTGTGTGGTGTCAGTCTGTCTCAAGGACAGAGGAGACCGCCATCTGTCTCTGATGGGTTAGCCAGCACGGGTACGGAGGCAAGGTGCAGAACACCTCTGATTTCTGTCAGCTCGAGGAGTATGCACAGGGGAGGCAGCCCGCCCTTGGCCTGGGACTATCATGGGACTGCCTCAGGCCTGCAGGAGCAGGAGGGGGTTCATTGGGGATCCCTGAAAGGGGGAGCCCATTGGTTCTTACACAGCTCATCTTTATTACTTCTGCAGCTCAGGAGCAACCACACCCCAGGAGGACGACCTCTAGGCTGTCAGAGGGACTGACCAGTGGTCAGCAATGAACAGGAAACTCCGGATGCACTTGGGCACAAATCTGTTTAGAAAGCCTGTGCCAGCAGAGTCCCCAGGCTTCTCCTGCTGGCCTCTAGCAAGGACTGTGACAGCTCACAATGGGCTGCTGGTCACATGCTCTTGTCACCCTACCCTGGTTTTAGAAGGACCTCTGCTCTATCTTCTCACTTTAAACTTAAATACAGCAACAAAGACCATCTCCCAGAACTGAGAAGTTCTCACATCAGCTGTGTTCAAAATCAGTGTTCAAAATCTTCCAGCTACATTGGCCCCATTATGTCTTCCCTCGAATCCCCACCCTGCTGGCTGTGGTCATTTTCTTCCCCTGGGCCACCCTGAATTAACCTTGAATCCAGAAAATCCTGCCCAGAGGAAGCAGAACAGGCTCCACTTCTCTGGGTCCACTGACTGACTGTGCCATGCTGACTTTCTGGTGGGTCAAAGATCTCGGTGGGACGATGGGGAGCAATGTCCATGCTGCAACCACACCTGTTCTCACATACACCCCAAGGAGAGAGATGCAGACACAGACCTGATACCTGGACTGTCATGGTGACCTGGCTTCCATCCATGACTTTGAGGTCAGAGAGGCCCTGCAGGAAGAGGGGTGCGACGGGCTTGCTGGGAGCCGCGGGCAGAAGATACCCACTCTTCCTGTCGCTCTTCTTTTCTGTGTGGCAGACAATAGAATGTGGGGTGAACAGTCATTTATTCACTCAACAAACACAGACTAAATGGCTGCTGGGCAAATGACTGTGTTGAGGCTCAGGCTCCAGCTAAAGGCAGACTGCTAACAGATAAGGAGTATGGGGAGTTGCTGGAGATCAGTAGGAACAATGAGAGCCTGTTTCTCTACCTGGCATGCCAGAGCTCTTGCCTGAGAGCAAGGGGAAGGCAGGGCCTCCACAGGGCCACGCCCCATGTGGGCTCTGGTTCCTGAGAACTTCAATAACTGGCATTTGAGGGTTTTTTTTTTTTTATTTCACTCTCTTTTTTTGAATAAGTAATACACTTACATGCACAAAATTTAAAAATTCCAGAGTATGTGAGGTCTCCCTTCTATCCCTGACCTCTGGCTGTTAGGCACCTCTCCCCAGAGGCAGCCAATTTTCAGTTTCTTGTTCATCTTGCCAGAGACAGTCTATGTATATAACACAAAGGAGCAAATAAGTATACTCTTCCAGTTTCTTCTCTTAAGGAAACGATAGCACACTATACACACTATGGACAGCTTTTCATTTAACAATACACCTTGATGCCTCTCATAAAGCAGAAGTAAAGAGCTTCCCTGTCGTTTTCTATGGCTGTGTGACACTCTACTGCCATCTCAGGAGATTTTAAACACCTCAAGAAAGCCAAAGATGCTCTGCTCATGAGAGTGACCCAAATGAAAAAGACCGACCATCTCAAGCACTGGTGTTGGCGAGGGTGTGGAGCTCCGGGACATCCCACACACTGCTGTACCACGCGTGGTACAGACCCTTCTGAAAGCAGCTTGGCAGTTTCTTAAAAAGCGAAACATGCATTTACCACACCATACGGTCATTCTACCCCCAGGTATTTACACAAGAGAAATGAAAGCACATATCCAGACAAAGATTTGTATACAAATATTCATTGCAGGGTTATTCCTAATGACCCTAACTAGAAACAACCCAAATGTCCATCAACAAGTGAATGAATAAAAAAAGTGTGCTATATTTATGCAGTGGAATACTACTCAGCAATAAAAAGAAACAGACTAGGGGCGCCTAGGTGGCTCGGTCAGTTAAGCATCTAACTTCGGCTCAGGTCATGACCTCGTGGTTAGTGGGTTCGAGCCCTGCCTCAGGCTTTGTGCTGATAGCTCAGAGCCTGGAACCTGCTTCAGATTCTGTGTCTCCCTCTCTCTCTGCCCCTCCCCCACTCACACTCTGTCTCTCTCTCTCTCTCTCAAAATAAACATTAAAAAAATAAAAAAGAAACAGACTAACAATAGACACTACAACAGAGACAAATCTCATAAAAATGACATTGAATAAAGGAAGCCAAAGAAAGAGCACATACTGGATGATTCCATTTATATAAAAGTCTAGCAAATGCAAAATATAGTGACAGCAAGCAGGTCAGTGATTGCCTGGGGCTTATGGGGATAGATGGTAAAGGGGCACAAGGAAGCATTTGGGGTTGATGGAGATGTTCATTTCTTAAGATTGTGGTGAAGGTTTCATGGGTGAAAGTTTCAAATTAAACACCACGAATACATGCAATTCATTGTACATCAATATTAGTAAAAACTGGGGAAGAAAGTCTCTGAGGGAGGGAGGAAGTACACCAGCTAGCCAAAGATAAAAACTAGAACAACTCTCTGGGTTCAGGGCTGGCCCACTCACTCCTGTTCAGTTCTCCGGGGAAAAGGGTTAATAAACAGGCTTTCTGTTATTCTTGGAATACTCCCCAGGCTGGGCTTTGACCTGCCTCATGTGAGCAGGAGAGGAAGGGGCAGCAAAGTGGCTGAGCTTCTGGTGTCAGCTTCCCACACAGAATAGTTCTGGTGCAGGACAAGCTCACGGCTGCTCAGTCTCTGATCTTGCCCTTTGCCTTGCGAACCAGGTGGCTTCAATAATTCTGTAGCTTTTTTGTTTTTGTCTTTTGGTGGGGGCAGGGAGAAGGAGGGAAGGGGCTATGATATCTCTATCTTAAACTCTAAGTTTTGGGGGAAAGGGACTGAGGTATTTTGGGTTCTTATTAGCAAGGGCCACCTATATCAGATTTTTAGGAAGCCCATAGCCACGGGGATACATCTCCAAGGTGCCTTGTATGCCTGAGAAAAGCCGAACTCCAAATTTGCCACCAAATTTTTCTCTTTTGGCACTAAAAACAGAATACAGCCCACTGCAGAGCTCTCCTGGCACAGCCTCTGGGAATGAGGAGGGGAGAGGGTGAGAAGGCTCAGGATGCTGAAGGAAAACTTCCCCCAAGGCAGGTGCATTGTGAAGGTTATGAAGCCAGAGCACAGGGGCAGTTGAGGCAGGGCAACCGGATGTTCTGTGACCAGAGGATGTGCTCTCAGGTCCCCACTGCTTCCTTCACCCCAGCCCCCAACATCGCTGCCTTTGATAGAGGGGCAGACAAGGTAGGCTTGCCTTTGACATGAGGCCCCGGGACTGGGCTCAGGGAGGTCCAGTATTCAAAGTGTAGAGATCTCGTCTCGCTGGCTGGGCTACAGTGGCCAGGAAAGCAGCCTGCCTCGGGAGAGTTGAGGAATTTCCTGTCCTGCACAGACTGAGGCTTGAGGACAAAATGTTTTTGCCTGTCCAGATTCCCCCCATTCCTGCTTCTCTGCTGCCTCAGTCAGCCCCCAGCTTCAGAGGTCCATGTAGATGGGCATGCCTATGGGCCGAGAGAACATCAAAAACTCCTTCGAGCCAGTGGTGGCTCTTCCTTGGCCCCCACCCTCTCTCTGGTCTTCCCCCTGCCAAGTTTCCTGGCCCACACCTTATGAGTCTCAGCCAGTGGGGACTAAAAGTAGATCTGTGCCTCCCTCTCCTGTGAGGGTAGCCTGGCCACTGCCTTCCACGCAGCAGCTTACTGGTGCTCTGAAAGCCATGGGAAATATAGGGTCTGAGGCCGGGGCCTCTCTCTGAAGCTCAACGTCCTCCCCTGTATTTAAGGTAATGACAGTATAATCCTGGGACTTAGGGAGTTTTAAAGAGACAACATGTGAACATACTTTGTATGGCTATTCAACACCAATGAGACCTTCTGTGTGAGGCTGACACGTGTGTTGACTCACACTTACTCACCTGGGCTCCACTACTTGTGGATTATCAGCTGCAAAGAAACACAGATGGGGCCCTCACCCAAGGATCACAGACTCATTTTTACATGACCCGAGGCAAATACTGTTAGGAATACAAATGTATTGCTTAAAACTCTCCTGGGATAGAGGTAAAATAATTAGAGAACAACCTGGCTGCACCCCCTCCAGGAGAGACATGAGTGGATGACTATTTTGTGGGTGCCTGGCCTAGGAGACACTGAGTCCCATGCCGCCATAGTCCCAGGAAGACCTGCTCTGTCTTCCCCAGGCCCTGAGCCTGGATGGAGGGCAGACAGAAGTGATTGGAAGTAAGTGTGCAGAATGAACCTGGCCTCAGACCTGCAGTGTGGGCTCACATGGGACCAGTGTGACTGAACCTAGGCTAGTGAATGGCTGAGTCATCCCTAGCATTCAATCGCCCCAAGTTCTTCTCAGGGTGAGAAACCAACCAAGCCTCCCTACACACACACTCCGCAATGGGACTAAGGAGCCAGTGAGGGTCTCAGTTCTGGGGCAAGTAGTTTTCTGTATGCAGCCCAGGAAAAGCAGCCCTCACTAGAACCCTGAAGCCCCAGTCCCAATACCGCCACCCCACTTCACTGATAGAGAGGCCAGGGCATGCTCAAGGTCACAGGGCCAGTTACAGGCCGACCTAGAGCTCATACCCAGGCCTTCTGGTGGTAAGACCAGATGCCCTGGAGGCCATCTCTTCCAAGGGAGCCAGGCTTCTCCAGTGGTGAACCCTCCACAAGGACAGACGTCTTACCTGCTGACCTACGACCTAGACCCTGGCCAGGGGAGGAAAGCTAAAGCAAAGCAAGGGCCAGCCAGGTAAAAAGAGCCAGGCGTGTGTATTTCATTTAATTCCAAAGCCAAATTGTTCTGTCTCACTGTGGCCTGTGCACTGTGCATCAGTTTATGCTCACTCTTGCACAGATTTAGATAAAATAAGAAGACAGAGGGAAACTGGTGCTCTGAACTCCTAGCTCCAGCTGTGTGATCTGAAGCGAGGCCCCTGACCCACAGTTATCATCAGTTTTTTCTTTTATTTTTTTTTAACGCTTATTTATTTTTGAGGTGCAGAGAGAGAGAGTGTGAGCAGGGGAGGGGCAGAGAGAGAGGGACACACAGAATCCGAAGCAAGCTCCAGGCTCCGAGCTGTTAGCACAGAGCCCAATACAGGGCTCAGACCCACAAACCGTGAGATCATGACCTGAGCTGAAGTCGGATGCTTAATCGACTGAGCCACCCAGGCACCCCAGTTATCATCAGTTCTTGAGGACGATACAGTGTTGATAAGTGTATAATGCATGATTAAGCACTGCTGGGTTTTTAGATGATTAAAAGAAGCAACATGCAAAATGTATAATAAGTATATTTATAATAAGTACAAAAATAAATAATTTTTTTTAAAATTTTTGCCTTTCCTAACCCATCTTTTTGGTTGGGTACACTCATTCTGACCATAACTAAAATGAGAACCATCCTCCAAACTAGGGCACTCCCATTTAACCAGACAGACGTCTGGAAGGGCATTAACAGCCGCCTCTCTGTTGTGACATCGTCACAACAATGCTTTGCAGAGTCCAGCACTTGAGGGTTCAGAAAGATGATCGCAGCTGGTTCGGTGTCACCCTCAACATCCTCAGAGGGAGGGCAGGTGGTGTCCTCATTTTATGTCAGCTCAGAGAAGGGAGGTGGCCTGTCATAAGACACCGGGGCTGACATGGCCACCAGGGATCTGGTCTGGATGCTGCCCTGCTGCCCTGAGAACAAAGGCCAGCCACCTAGATTCCACTGGGAGCTCTCTGCTGTTGTTTGTGCCCATCCCCAGACTCACCAGTTACCTGAGAGAGGTGGGCCTCTGG